CATCAGTCCTGAGAGTTTCATCGTTCTACCTCGAATATTACGGAAGATACGGGGGTGTTTCCATAAGAAGTGAGGCAAATTCGGATTTTTCAGGACTGAAATTTTTTCAGAAAAAAAGTATATTCTTAGCGAGTTGGTAGTCCTTATCACGAATCTGAAGAAATTTTGAGCCTATTTTGCCCCCTAATATGTTTTACCGTAAAATGGGTTGTTCCATCGCGAGTGGCGGACAGTGTATATCACTTCGGCCAACTCCATTCAAGTGGTAGGTGCATTTTGCATCAGTCCTGAGAGTTTCATCGTTCTACCTCGAATATTACGGAATATACGGGGGTGTTTCCATGAGAAGTGAGACACACTTTATAATAGACTTGTGCCAGCTTTTTTTTCCTTTTTTCCAATTATTGAAGCAGTTCAAATATGCACTTTTCGGTATGCGATTCGGTTTTTATCTCCTCAATCGCCGCAAAACGCCGTCCTTACGAGGGTCTCTTCAATTTTGAGAACAGAAAAAAGTCGCAAGGGGGCAAATCTGGTGGAAACGGTGCCTGAGGTATGACTGCGGTGTTTTTTTTACTACGAGTGAGCAAGTGCATTATCGTGATGCAAAAGCCATTGTTGTTCCACAATATCGGACATTTTCTTCGTATTGCTTTCCGCAAACGGCGCATTACTCCAAGATAATATTCCTTATTGATGTCATAACCATATACCCATGATTTTTCACCAGTTATGGAGCGATGTTCATAGGACGTTTTCATTGGTCGAAATTCGGCAGTTTTGGAACGGACTTAGCTGCCACACGCTTCATTTCCAGTTATTGATGTGCTGAGTGTCCAGTACATCGTCCTCCTAGACATTTCGAAATCCTTTGACAGAGTATGGAATGAAGGTCTACTATACAAAATGCTCGATTTCGACCTGCCTCGGGGCCTGATCCCGTGGATTAGGTCATTTCTGAAAGGCAGAACATTTCAGGTCCGAGTTGAAGGTACCCTGTCTCTCGTCAGGGAAATCGAAGCTGGAGTGGCTCAGGGAGCTGTGCTGTCTCCACTATTATATAGCCTTTACGTGAGCGACCTTCCGAGGTTCGATCACGTGAAGGTTTCTCTTTACGCCGACGATACGGCTCTCCTCGCTTCTTCCATGGATCAAGGGTTGGCGGTCGTCTACATGCAACGCGCATTGGACGACCTCGAACGCTGGTACCTGGAATGGAAGAATCGGGTGAATCCAGAAAAAACTCAGGCGGTAGATTTGGGAAGACGTTAAGTTTCTCCAGGCACAAAAGTTACGATTTCAGGCAGGGAGATCGAATGACAAACGCGACTCAAATACCTAGGTCTTTGGGTAGACCGCCGACTCACCTGGGNAGCCCGCGAAATTTGAACATTCCCCTTATCTTTTGAACATACCTCGTATAAACCAGAAAACCAAAAGAGTGTAGCACCAAAAAACTAATTTTCGGAAATTAAATTTTCATTTCAGGTTTCCTGTCGACAGAAGATTCTGTGATTCCAGCAAATGCTGGATTGAAAGACCAGCAACTGGCACTGAAATGGGTTCAAAACAACATTGGTGTTTTTGGCGGAGACCCATCTAAAGTTACCATAATGGGTCAGGGTTATGGAGGATTTTCAGTTGGTTATCATATCCTGGACAAAAAATCTGAAGGTGAGAGTAGCTGAAAGAGATGAAATTCATCTTTCATAGAAGATCAGCTTCAAGTGTTTAATGGTGAATTCAATGAAACATCAGAATATAGAAATTTTTCAATCATTTCAGTAGCTTCTTTCCTGTGTTTGTGAAGTTTGATTTAAGGTTATTGAGGAGAAGTCAGAGGAGGGGTCAATGAGAAAGACATGAATGTTCAACAACAAACGAGAACGAATCAAAGAATCAAGCTACTTGAATGCTATACATTTCTTCAATCATATCGAGATGAATTTGACAGCAATTCACCACAGTTCAGTAAAATCGATTGAAAAACACATGTATAATATTTGAGTTCTCAGTCAATATTCGAGGTATTCAATAAATGAAACTGAAGTGAATTGGTTTTCAATTAAAAAATAGAAAAAAAATAATGGAAATATCTAACTAACATGAGTAATATAGCTAGGGGAGTTCTAAGCCATTCCTTATGGAAAAACACGTATGACGTAGTCTTTCTCACTCCTCCACTTTTGGCATCATCCAGTCGACCAATCAGAAGCATCGGCGCGTAGAATGCGAAATTCAAATTAGTAGGTAGCGGGTCAGAGCCCCCTTCAAGCCCGAGTCCACTAGGAGCGCGTGACTGATGGCTCATGAGGCTTTGACTAAATGAAATTCCTCTCTGAAACACCTACCATCGACGTACAACCTGGAAGTGGGCTCGGACCCGCTTTGTTCATCTAGTGATTTGAATTTCCCGCTGTACGCGCGGTAGCTTCTAATTGGTCGATTGAATGACGGTAAAAGTGGAGGAGTGGGGATGACCACGTCATACGTGTCTCCCTTCCACTCACTAACGTCACTCTCTGAAACACTTACCAACTACACGTGACCTCTGAGAAGGCTTTGAAGGTTGAAGGACGTACAATCGCCAGAATGGACCTGCTCAAATTGGCACGTGTTTTTCCATAAAGAATGGCTCAGAACTCTCGTAGCTATATCTCTCACGTGACGTGACACGTGACTATATTCGGAACTATTGTATTAAATATTGCTATGTTTATTTCAGGGTTATTCAGGGGCGGCATAATTCAAAGCGGTTCACCTTTAACGTGTTTTGCTTTGCAAAAATATCCAAAATATGTTACCTACGAACTTGGTTCCAGGATTAGTAAAGAAATTGATCACACGAAATCCTCCAAGCAACTCCTTGAAGTGTTACAAAGTGCATCTCCCGAAGATATTAAGAAAAACGCCTTATTCGAGGTAACAAACAGATTTTTTAAGAATTAGTTTTTCAACAAGTGCTTTTCCAAATCACCAGAAATGCGATACTCTTCTCGACGCGCATTTCAATGACCAAGTTGTTGTTTTCAGAAAACTGCTTCTTTCGTCTCCTGAAGAGGCCAGTGTGGTTGGTGAATAGCGTGTCGAAGAGAGTGTGATGATTTTTGTCAGAGGTTCCAAATTTACCATTCATCAAGAATAAGTTCATCAAATAAAATATACTTTCTAAGTTTTCTTTGTCCTATTCATATCACAATAGATTTGTTCTCCAAGGATTTCCATCTTCCACATTCTGAAAAACTGAAAATTATAATGGCGATCTCTACATACATATATCGACACATGTATAGAATGGGTTGACAAAAATAGTACTATTCATCAGTTACTTGTTTATTTTATAATTTCACTGAAAAATAAAGGTAACAAATTCTATAGATACTATGGTAACGTATGGAAAGCTAAAATCTGCCTCCGTCTTCAGAATTGAGAAAATCTCAAAGCTACGGAAATTGATGCCAATGCCAAAGATAAGGTGAACAAGTTGGAAAAATCTGGAATTTATAAACTTAAGTGCCCGGAGTGTAATAGTGTTTATGTGGGACAAAGTGACCGAAATTTCCAAAAACGGTATGGTGAACATGAAAGGTCCTTCAGACTAGGAAAAATGATTCGACGTTTTCAAACCATTCCTTGGCTTGCAACCACAAGTTTCCGAATCTAAACGATACGGAAATTTTGTACTCTACAAGGAAGGGTTACAAACACAATTATTTAGAAACTTTGGAAATTCACAAGCATAAGCATTGCGGGTGCAACCTGTTAAATGATCAAATCGATTTAGTTTACTCAACGGTTTTTAAATTGGCAAATCCGCATTGTAAACTGTAAATTCAGGTACTTAATCAAGCCAAGGACCTACATCAGAACCTACAGGGGTGGTATATAAGGGCTAATGTAATGAACCACTGTTAGTTTATTGTATAAGTTTGAAAATGTCCGTATAGGACGAAACTGCAGTAACGTTAGTTACAAATAAAAGTGGTAAAAAACAAGTCTCTCAGCTCAATATTGGTTTTGTCAATTGTCCATTTCTAATGTATCTAGATCTTCTTTCTCACGCTCTTTTGATGGTCTTGAAGTTTCACCAAAATAAATGGTACCAACATGTTATAAGTACAATTATTTGTTTTTTTTCTTGGGTTGTTGAGTTTCTATATGTGAGTATAGATCTCAGTGTATTTTTGTTTCATAAGAAGTCATTGAGCTTAGGGCCTCTCCACTCAATTTTCATAGCCAGATTGCAGAATATGTTCTGACAATTTTGGCCCTGTTCATTATCTATTTCTTATATGACCTAGATGTTCCTTCTCACGCCCTTTCAATGGCCTTTGAGGTTTCACCAAAGTAACTAGTAGCACAAGAATAAGACATCTCATTGATTCAATTTTTGGTCTTTCTTTGGTATGGTTGAGTTTTCATGTCTAACCATATCAATCTCAGTGTATTTTATGTGTCGGGAGAAGTTTCAACAACATATCCAATTCGTCTCTTATTTTTTCATATACCTAGTCCAGGAAAATTAGTAGTGAGAGGTGATGGTGGTTGTTAAGTTGGTGTTTGTTCAGTTGGTGTGCCTATCGGTTTTTATTTCCGATATCCTCCACTTTCGTTCAGTATAACAATAGACTTCTACAAACTGGCTTTGTTACCTTCTGCAGAACTTCCATGTTTTTTGCCTTGAATTCCTTTTTTATAGTTATGTTATTGACCAAAATACCTCCATCATCGCTATTATCTGAATTTTATTTCACCACAATGGCTGACTATAAAATGATTTCAGTTGCCTGCCGATAAACTCAACTGCATGAAACATTCTTCAGGAGCATGGAGTCCTGCGAAGGAAGATGAGAGTTTTGAAAACGCTTTGGTTACTGGCATGAACCATGAAAATATCAAAAATGGTAATTCAAATAAAATTCCCTTGCTAATCGGAATAAACTCTGAAGAAGTTTTGACTTTTGGTGAGTAGAAGTAACATATACGCTTTACATTTTTTTATTTTTGTTAATGTTCTCAACTTCCACGTGAACCCAATGGAATTTAATCAGTACTGATGACATTGACATTGGAAAAAAAGTTTCACAGTCAATTTGACAACTGACACTATAAAAAGGAATGATTTTCTTCTGCTTTTCAGCAAGCTCAAAAGAAATAGAATTCAGATGTTGATCCAGAGTATATGAGTTAAAATTTGTTGCCCCAATAAAGGCCTAGTTCGCAATATCCCATTGGGAACTTGAATATGACCCAGGGTTGCCATATTGGGGAGTTGCAAAATATCATCATTTTTCATTAACATTTGTGGCTGCATTTGGCAGGCTCTATCATGCGATTGATCGAAATAACAAAACACTCACACTTCTGTGGTCGTATTCATTGTCCAATGATTCTAGTAGTGATACTAGTATAAGTGATGAATGTGCATGTATATCAGAAAGGATATGATTGTACATATGAAGTTTTCAGAACATGGTGATGAAGGTAGGTGTGCCAGAATCATGCATATCATCGCTAGGGATCCAGCACATCCCGCATCATCACACCATATTGGGGAGTTGCAAAATATTATCATTTTTTATTAACATTTGTGGCTGCATTTGGCAGGCCCTATCATGTGATTGATCGAATTTACAAAACACTCACACTTCTGTGGTCGTATTCATTGTCCAATGATTCTAGTAGTGATACTAGTGTAAGTGATGAATGTGCATGTGTATCAGAAGGGATATGATGTACATATGAAGTTTTCAGAACATGGTGATGAAGGTAGGTGTGCCAGAATCATGCATATCATCGCTAGGGATCCAGCACATCCCGCATCATCACATAATAATGTCGAACTGTATAGCAATATGTCTTGGCACAAATACATCATTGGAGAAACGAAAGCCACTTCTCAGAAGTTCAAAACAAGATTCTCAATTAGACTTTTATTTTGTGAACAATTCATAAACCACCCATAAATTGAAACTCAGTATCAGTAACGTCAAATTTGCTGTCATTATGTCACTGATGCCAACCTTGTTTACAACCACACCTTCCTCTTTCCCTGTCTACAGATTCCCTCCCGTCTAGGGTCGACTGAATTTTGCAGCCCGATATGACCTAGTATTAAGGTGTTTTCATGTCACTTCTTCACAATTTTTCAGAAAATAGTTATTACACAATATGTGGGTATCTTTTAAGTTGAGTACTGTAATCTTTATCTTTCTCACTTGAATTTACTGAAGGAAAAAAACAATTTTCAACAGAAAAGAAGGTAACTGTGATAAAAATTATTTTCCGTACTATAAATACACAAGCTAACAAAAATATTGTGAAACCGTTTGAAATATTATCCATTTTTTATATTTCCTGAGCTTAATGAAGCAGTTTTTTTTGTTTCAAGGTATTGTTGGACTGGACTCATTAGGAGAAATGTACGATGATAATATAACCACAATGATAACTGGAAATTTGAATATCAAGGACGAGAATAAACGACCTGCTGCCACCAAGCTAAAGGGTCTCTATACAAATGGCAACTTGAAAGATGATATACCTGCTGTGATATCTGTAAGTTGTGAATTATCATATTGAAGATGAATGTTTGAGATTAATAGAGAATCGAAAGGAGTCCGATATTTTCTGTTGTTGTTTAGTGAGATAGTAGAAAAATTCACATATAAATTTCTTTCGATGGGGAGACTAATCAAACCAATGTGCATATCAATAGTTAAAAAAAACAAACGGACATTTGGAGCTTCAGTTTCAGGATACCTAGGTTTCCTAAATACATTCAGCATGATTATGTTGGATAATTTGAGTGTGTATGATTCAAAAAAAAGAGAGGGAAAGTCTGGAGTGCTGTTCCGTGAATTCTCCTTTCTTTTGGAATGATATTAAAAAGAAGAAGAAGAAGCGTCGTCGTATGGTGTCGTCCAATCGCTTTCCGAATTGGAAGGACGAAATCTCGGCCTTGCGGTTCGTGAATTGAATGGCAAGTACACAAGATGGAGACTAAGCTCACGTTGTCGAGACAACACGCATCTCGTAAGCATTGATGACAGGGTGGCCAACTGGCCTTTCACGCCCGCAGTGCGGCAAATAGCCATCAAACTAAAACGTATCCATCACACTTTGAGTTAAGGCATGCTGCTGACCACTAAACAGCACTGTCTTGATAGGATATGAATGCTATTGGCTACTATGAAGTCAATTCACTGATATATTGCAGTTTGAATTAGACTGATACAAACGGACAGAACTTTTGAGAAAAACAATATATGAACATATTTTGATGGCTCCAATTCATCATCTCGAACTTCCAATGGAAGCCATTTGTGATACATACTGTAATGACATTTAAAAATCCTCAATTTCCTCAAAACATACAGGGTGTTACATAAGTTCATTAAAATATTCAAGTGTCGTATTCCTGAGACAATTTTGAGAAAAAAAGTCTATATGAACTTGTGTCCGAAAATGCTCCGTTTCGGAAACACGAGGTGTTGAAATTGATTTTTTTTCTTCGTTTTTTGAAAATAACTCTTGCAAAAAATAAGTTATTTGCACGAAATTCGTTACTCGGGGATTTTTTGACGTGTGAAATCATAATTTCGTATTGATTTTCATGTGTAACATCTAGATGGCGCTACGTACGCTGTGATTATTTATTTCAAATTGCCAACAACGAGATATTTACAATTTTCTATATCGATGCATATTACTCAGCTCCTAGGGCGTTAAGTGAAGTTGCTGAGAACATTACAAAAACTAAGTATGTGGTGGATCTCGTCAAAATGAACAATTTTTTTCCATAAAATGTTTAACGAAGAATGATCCGTTTTCAAAATACAGATTGTTGAAATTTTTCAAAACATGGTTGGTTTTGTCATAGGTTTTTTGCAACTTTATTTATTTGTATCTCGAAAACGAATGATTTTCCGATGAACATTTTGGAAAGAATAGTTGTTTATTTTGACGAGAACCACAACATACTTAGTTTTTGTAATGTTCTCAGCAATTTCACTTAGCGCCTAAGAGCTTATAGATAGATAGATATAGATATAGACCCACACAGCACTAGATATTCATGGAATATTCCCTGTATATCATAAAACGAACGTATATATTCCAAATATTCATAGAATATTCTTGGAATATATACATGCCTTTAGAATATTCATAGAATATGCTTGAATGAATATGGCAGGATTATTCCCGAAAGAATGTGCATAGAATGTCTATAAATGGATTATTCTCCCTTGAATATTCTAAGAATATTGTCGATC